TATATATATATATATATATATATATATATATATATATATATATATATATATATATATATAATAAATATATATATATATTTATATATATATATATATATATATATATATATATATATATATATATATATATATATATATATATATATATATATATATATATATATATATATATATATATATATATATATATATATATATATGTACATATATATATATATGTATATATATATATATATAAATAGTAAATAAAAGTTGAAAAGAAAAATAAGACCTACTTTTAAGTAAAAACTTTCTCAATATTTTTCTTCTGTTGTTTAAAAATTCTCATTTTATACAGTCAAAAATAAGAAAGTAAAAAAACAATAAAGTATTTTTTTTTTTTTTTTTTTTTTTTTTTTTTAACATCTTCACTTCCAACAAGGCTGCAAGCAACCACTATAAGAGTTGGAAGTTACTGGAAGAGAAAAGACTAAATCTGTAGAGCAAGATAACGATTGACTGATGACTTAAAAGATTGCAAATTATATGAATCAGGAAAGCAAGATGAAGGAAGCGAATTCCAAAGAACTGATGTTCGAGGAAAAAAACTAGAAGAATAAGAGTTTTTGAAGCACTTAGGAACAGTCACAGAAAAAGGATGAGACTTAATTGAATGGCGAGTAACACGAGAATGAATTTTAGTAGATGGCACAAGGGACGCTAGCTCTTTAGAGCAGTGCCCATTATAGTATTTGTAGAAAAGAGAAAGAGAAGCAACATTACGACGATGTGACAAAGGTTGGAGATTGGCTGCCAGAGCAGGTCCAACTATGTTTACAATTCGTTTTTGCACCTTGTCTAAAAGAGAAAGAGCATCATTAGAAGATCCGCCCCAGATGTGGCAACAGTATTCCATACAGGGACGGATTTGAGATTTATAGAGATAGAGAATAGAATCTGGAGTAAGAAAGTGTCGAGCTCGATAAAGAGATGCAACCTTAGCAGATGCTAATTTTGCAATGGATTTGATATACGGTTTAAAAGAAAGATCAGAAGTAAGAGTTAATCCTAGAAGATGAATGGTAGATGACTCATCTAGTACATTACCATTCATAAATATAGGAAGATCTAAATTATTACGATAACGATTGGCCGAATAAAATTGAGTTTTATCTGAATTAAAGTTCACCAGTTACTGTGAGCCCCATGCTGTAGCAGAAGTGAGATCCTTTTCAAGCTCAGATACCCCCTCCAAGCAATCAGAGAGTGTAGGCTTCTTATCATGACAAGAGTAAATGGTAGTGTCGCCAGTGAATAATGCCACCTTGGATGTGAGAATATCTGTAAGATCGTTAATGTAAATTAAAAAGAGTATAGGGCCAAGGATTGAACCTTGAGGAACCCCTGAAGTTACAGGATGTGAAGAAGAGTGTTGTCCATCGAGGACAACTTTTATACTACGATTGGAAAGAAAGGACTCAATAATCTTAAAGACGTTACCAGCTACACCATAAGAAGAAAGCTTATGGAGAAGACCAGCATGCCAAACTTTGTCAAAAGCTTTAGAAATGTCAAGTGCGATAGCCTTAACCTTTCCACCACTATCTAATGCACGGTAAAACCTATCGGTTATTACTGTTAGCACATCAGCTGTAGAACGAGAAGACCGAAATCCATATTGATGATCAGAAAGTAAGTTATTTGATTCAAGATGAGAGATTAAGTGTTTGTTGATTAAAGATTCAAAAACCTTGCTTATGACAGGAAGAAGACTAATGGAACGGTAGTTAGATGAATCAGATCGCTCTCCGGAATTTTTGAAAATAGGGATAACAGATGCTGTTTTCCAGCATGATGGAAAACAAGACTCTGATAAGCACTTGTTAAATAGTTAAGAAAGTATGGATGAAAGCTCCGGAGAACACCTCTGCAAGACTACAACAGGAATGTTGTCAGGACCACAAGCTGTTGAAGAGTCTAAGCAGGAAATTACTTTAGATACAGAAGCTGAAGTGATGCGAATGTCAAGCAAGGGATCAACCTGTTTGACGGCTATGTCAGGTAAAACGCAACTAGTGGAATCAAGAGATAATATTGATGAAAAGTTCTTAGCAAACAATTCAGCTTTGTCTTTAGGTGAGGTGACAAAGTCTGAACCATACAAGAGAGAAGGAATAACAGATTTGCCCTTATTATTGATACTGTTAAAGACTCTCCAGAAGTCTCGAGAGTCTAATTTTTGTGATGAGATACGAGATTTAATGACCTGGGAATAGCGAGCTTTGGCGTCAGACAAAACCTTTTTACAATGGTTTCTGGATAGTGAACAGATGTCTGTTTTCTGGAGAATTGTTTTGCTGATAGATATGGAAGTAACGGTTTCGATTAGAAATTGCTGCAGCGCAATGTGAGGAAAACCAAGGAGAAGAGTGAGGCTTGACCTGGAATCGTCGAGAGGGAATAAAAGATTCCATGCCAGCCTGAATCCACGAAGTTATGTAAGAAGCACATTTGTCAGCAGGAAGACGAAAGATTTCTACCCAAGGGCCATCACGAAGAAAATCACGGAAAGAGTCCCAGTCAGCTTTAAGGTAGTTGTATGTGGTACGATGATAGGGGGATTCTGATGAAGTAGAAGAATTTGATAATAGTTTTAGAGAGATCAAACCGTGATCAGAAGTACCTAAGGGTGAATGTGGAGAAATTGAGCACATTTTATCTTGTAACATGGCCTACTATATTTATACGGCCTGATTTGTTGCATTTTCCGTAAAAATTAAGAGGCCAGTTTTTTTACGGCTAACGTTTGAAAGCTTGAATTCTTCTGTTAGTATTGTGAAAGTTTTATACATATTTTATTAAAATTGGAAAAAATGACTCGGATTTTCTTGGTTACAATATGTTATACTGGATTTTTTGCTAACTGATTGCCTGCTTCAGTTTATTCCAGTAAAACAGAATACTGAAATAGGCTGTCAGATAGCTATATATAAACATGGTACTTAAAATAACATTACATGTTGCAAAGACCATCTAAAAATCTTTAGTGGAAATAAAATCAAAGGTTTGTTATATCGTTTTTATTATAATTGAATCAAACAGTATAAAAGAAATAGCTTTTTATTAGGAATTATTATTGGTTCTCTGTCTTTTTTTAAATTGTTTCACCTGATCTTTTCTTACTGAATCAGTTGTTTTTTTTTGCAAACTGTTATAAAAGATATTTATAACGATACGAGATCCATATTTTATACCCAACTCTTGGTGATTGTCACAAGTAAAAGCAACACTGCTGTAATAATTTTAAAAAATTTGTTCTGCAAAACTTTTAATTGAAAAAGAATAACTGCAATGTTTGATTAAAATAGGAGATATGACATCTAAAATACTAAAAAGACGACAAATATAATCAGACAGAGGTTGACTTGGACATATAAGTCCACCTCTGGATAATATTTTCAAGTATTCATTATTAAGAATATCTTGGTCTGTAGATACCATTTTTTGATTACAAGTATGACATCCAAATTTTTTTTTCAATTTTTTTGCGACAAACCCTGCTATTGTAACAGCAACTTCCATGCTATCTTCAGAAAGCTGACACTCTAAAATCTCTGTAGACAACAAATCAATTTCTCGCATAATATTTTCTAAACTAGAATTATCAAATGTCTGATAAATATTTTCTTCCCAGAAATTAATATCTTCCTTTAGAAGACTTCTTACTGCCAAAATTTTTTCACTATTGCATACTTCTAAAAGACTCACTAGAAATCTGCCACCACTCATTTGTCTATACTTACTAAAACGTAGCTCCAAAGGATCACTTTGTAACCTGGAAGTAAGAACATATGTATAGTCTTCTTCAAGCAAATCATCGATAAGAGATGCAGTTGCCCGTAATGTTGTAATAAGAGCAAGAAAAGTTTGTTTGGAAAATGTGAAATAATCACATTTTGACCAAATATCAATCCAATTTGCAATTTCTCTATAAAATGTGGGCTTGTTATCACCCTTCACGGCAGCATTGCCAAGTTGATTGGATGTATTATATTTCTGCTTTGAATTAAGTGTGATGAACAACTTATGAAATAATGATAAAAATTGTGCTGCATCATTTCTTTCAGGAAAATAACTTAGTATTGCAGCTGTAGTTGTTTCATCAAATATTGCCAATGCAAGGTTGACATCTTGTTTGTTATTTCCAGGATGAGTGACCTGATAATTGATTTTTCTCGCTTTTTTTAAGTTGCCGTTTAATAACTGATCTTTTTCATAGATATTATGAAATAAACTCCATGCTATGTAACCAGCAGGAACTTCAACTTTGTCTTTAAACAAATCCTTTAAGAAGGAAAACAAAAAAATATGTTTTTCCTTAAAGAAGGAAAACATATTTTTTTGCATTTAACAAGTTATTTCTAACATTTTTTATTAAATGGATTATATCGAATAACAAGTATGTTTTTAATACTCCATTGTAAACTGGATGACATATAAATAACTTTCCATCTCCATTATATGCTTTATGAAACTCTGAAAATGCACTAACATTGGTAGAGTGATTATCTGCAACAACAGCTCTTACTAAATCCAGATTAGTGCAATGAGATAATGCATTCATCAATTTCTTTTTTTAACCATGAACCTGTTATATACATTTCAGGTGATGATCTCACAACATAAGGAATAGATTTTTGAAGCCCAACAATCATAAAAACAACAATACCTTTATAAAGATTACTTTCTGAATCTTCACCAACATATTTCCCACTTTGATATTGGGCTGCTTTTTGCAAACACATTTCATCCACAAGAAGCACACAGTCACTTGATACACAATTTTTTTGTAACAAAACTTTTATAGCCTTAAATGCATTTATATCACCACTTTGAATTTTTATTAATAAACTAAAAGATGGTAAGGGTAATTGTTCTAACAACAACTTATATGACTGTGCTGAAGTGTGACGTAAAATTAATGCATATCGTATAACGGAAGCAAAATATGGAGGTCTGCCTTATGGAGAATAGTATCTTATTTCATTTAGCTCTGTCAAAATTGAATTAAAAGCATTAGCTTTATTTCGAATATGGGCAGGAAAATTTTCTATCATACTACAGTTTGTTAATTTGCAATTATGACCACTGCTAAACCATTCAGGTAAAGAAATATGATATCCTTTATACGACAATGAAACATTAAAATCTTTATTAACTGTTATTGACTCAAACACAGTTGGTATACCTGATATTTCATCAAAACAGAGTTTATAGAAAACAACACTATCATGAAGTTTCTTAAATGTAAATCCTGGTGGGCAATGCTGTTCTTTTAACGAATTAAGACTAATTATTTTATCAATATTTTGAAAATCACTGAACTCATCTTTTCCCAAGTATCTTAAAGTTGGTTCTTTTCTAGGCAACTTTGGCACCCTTAAAGTTGATGAACTACTTTTTTTATCTGTGTGAATAGTTGGAACAGGTTGGAGATCCCATTTCATGGTGCATCTTTTCCCATATTTAATAAATTTATCCTCGAAATGATCAATACAAAGAGCAGAGTATTTAGATGGAAGCCAATCTTTTTTATTGACAAAATATATCCATCGTTCTCGCAAACTGCTTTCTTCAGGAAAATGAAATGTAGACTTTTTTGGACCAGTAGAGTAACCAGTTTTACAGTTTGTGACAACACATTTGTTAACCATTTTTATAACTAAAAAAAACTTCAAAAACTACAACAATATTGAGATTTCTTACATTTATAATTGAAGTTATCTCCACTTGAATAACATTGCATAAAAAAAAGCAGTTCGACTGTATACAATATACCAAGTAGACTGTCTGTAAGTCTATTTTATTATTCCACTCTCTAATGGATTATAATGAAACAGACAATCAGTCAGAATATAATCAGAAATATATACTACATGAATATGAAAATATAAACCAAACTTTGATATAATAATTGTAATAATCACATTATTTTAATTATTAAATATTGTTAGTTGTCTTATAATAGAAAATAAGCCGTAAAAAAACTGGCCTCTTAATTTTTTACGGAACATGCAACAAATCAGGCCGTGTAATTAGAGTAGGCCATGCTTGTAATAAGGAAATTCCACAAGTTCATATAATTGAAATACTTAGAATACTCATTTTATAAAGTCAAAAATATAGAAGTAAAAAAACATTAAAAAATGTTATGCTGTAATAAAGTAATTCCACAAGTTCATATAATTGAATTACTTAGAATACTCATTTTAGGTAGTCAAAAAAAAAGAAATAAAAATATATATATATATATATATATTTTATGCTGGAATAAAATTCCAAAAAGTTCAAATAATTGAAATACTATTTAAGTATTTTTAGACATCACATTCATTTAGAATTTATAAAAACAAACACATTAAACATAATTTGTTGCAATAAAATACAAATATAGTATTAAACAAGTTTTAATGCAATGATATATATATATATATATATATATATATATATATATATATATATATATATATATATATATATATATATATATATATATATATATATATATATATATATATATATATATATATATATATATATATATATATATATATATATATATATATATATATATATATATATATATATATATATATATATATATATATATATATATATCCTTATAGTGCAGTCAAAAGAGACTTTTATGGTAAAAAAAGTCACTTTCGACTACTATTTTTTTACCTTGTCTCTTAAGCTGCATTTTTTTGTCGCCAAAATATCAAAGCAATTAAATTAATGCAGAAGTACATTAAATTTTATTGTTTTTTAAAAAAAACGCAATAATAATGACAAGATCAATTTGTACCACTTGCGCACCTTCCCAAAATACTTCAAGAGAATATTCTTCTCTAACACAATGTTGTATAGAAAAACCTAGAAAATCAGATCAATCGGTAGTAAGTTTTGAAAAAGAATATTTTTTTGTTTGTCTATTAATTTAGTTTTGCATCCTTAATTTTTTCCATTAATTCTTTTATTTTGTTCTCAACAGCTACGAGTTGTTATACGAGGCTTCAAAATATTATTTGTATTAATTAAAGCATTAATTGTTTTATTGAGTTATAAATACTTTTGAATACCAATAAGGAGATTTTAAAATATTTTTCGAAGACATGTTTATTTCTTTTTTTCCATTAACCTTTGTTTTACAAAATTTTTTTTGCCACATTTGACACCAAAAATTATGTGATAAAAATTGAGTTTTGTGAATTTTTATCACATAATATTAAGAGCGAATAAAGACAAAAATATTTCTTCTTTATTCGTTCTTCTATATTGCATATCTTCAATATTGCATACCAAAATTGTAGTTTTCTCTCGGAAATATAACATTAAGTCAAAAAGTTTTCTTTTCTTTACTTAATGAGAGTTTGTCTTTTACAAAATTATAATCACGATGTATAGAAAAAAGTCTCTTTCGACTACAATTTTTTTACCTCGTCTCTTAGGCTGCATTTTTTTTGTCGTCGAAATATCAAAGCAATTAAATTAATGGGGAAGTACATTAAATTTTATTGTTTTTAAAAAAACCCACAATAATAATGACTAGAAAGTTTTTTTTAATTAGTGGTGTTTGTTTTTGTTTTATTAAAAAACATTTGTAAAATATGCGTAAGTGTTGCTACATCTACTATCTTATAGCCTGCTGCTACAAGGGAGTATTGCTACATCGACAATCTTATAGCCTGACTCGCAACGGAGTGCTGCTACATCGACTGACAAATAGCCTGACTCGCAAAGGAGTGCAGATACATTGACTGAGGGTTTGGTTTGGGCAGGCAGTCTATCATTTGAAAAAAAAAACAACTTTTTTTAAGTTTTGCAACATTTTCTGGTTAGGCTTATTAACGTGCTCTTTAAAACAACAGTTTATGGGAAAAACTTTGTGACTACCATGCAAGACTATATATATATATATATATATATATATATATATATATATATATATATATATATATATATATATATATATATATATATATATATATATATATATATACATATATATATATATATATATATATATATATATATATATATATATATATATATATATATATATATATATATATATATATATATATATATATATATATATATATATATATATATATATATATATATATATATATATATATATATATATATATATATATATATATATATATATATATATATATACATATATAATGTCATCACACAATTTTATGCAAAATTTGTCTTGGCTATTCATTTTATAAATTAGACAATACTGTCTAACTTACTTAACGAATTATACCAATGAAAAGGTAAGCCATAGGAATTTCCATCAGTAAGCTTTCTTGTTGCTTAAGGTTAGCGCTTCATTTCCGGATTCTTTGCTTTAATTGATAGGCAGTTTATATAAAAGTAATACTAATTTTGCATAAAGCTTTTTATTTTTGTTACTATTAGTTAAGCTTAGAGATAAAGATATTGAAATATAACGTAATTTAACAATACAATATTATTTAAATTAAACAAAACTGGTAAATATAAACACATCAAATATGATTCATTACATTTATAAAGATAAAAACCGCTGTACTTAAATGCAGTAAAAGCAAACTATTGGAACATAATAATAAAAGAAATAAGATAAATACATACTACAACATAATTCCAAATTTTTATTTAATAAAATTACCTCACAATCCTCGCTACAAAGAATAAGATCACTTTTTTTAAAATCAATTAATAAAGGAAATGACCATACTTTATCAGGTTAATTCAGAGTTGTTAGTCCTTGGCAAAATTTTTTTGGCCCTGCCTTAAAGCTAAAAATAAAGGCCTCAACTTCAAAACTTTTGGCCTAGACCTTTGCCTTGGATTTGAAAAATTTTTCCTTGGTTATGATTGTTTTTGCCTTAGTCTTCTATAAAAATACAATAAATTAAAGAAATAAAAGTTTTCTTTCTTTGCTTTTATGTACTTTTGTTTCCAACTTTCATATATATCAACAAGTATATTTTACTATTGACTTTGTTGAAATCTGCGTTCAAACTTTGTCTATTTTTACAACATGTAGTTTTATTGTCGCAGCATTTGCTACCTACAGTTTTTTTATTAATTGTCCGTTATGTAAGGCAAAATTTTAAGTCTTTATTCTTTAAAATGTTTGTGGAGGCCTTCGCCTTTAAATTCTTCCTCATAGCCTGACCTTAAAATTTCTTAGCCTTGGCCTTGTTTTATATCTTATAACTTTTCTTTGGTCTTGGCTTTGTAACATGTGGCCTTGCTACTTTTGACTTTGTTAACAACTCTGGATTAACTATTGTATTTAAAAAGGTCTGTGGTTCGTTTAGCGTTTAATTCATCAATTTGTAGCACTTGCGCACCTTCCCAAAATATTTCAAGAGAATATTCTTCTCTAACACAATGTTGTATAGAAAAACCTAGAAAATCAGATCAATCGGTAGTAAATTTTGAAAAGGAATACTTTTTTGTTTGTCTATTAATTTAGTTTTGCATCCTTAATTTTTTCCATTAATTCTTTTATTTTGTTCTCAACAGCTACGAGGTATTATACGAGGCTTCAAAATATTATTTGTATTAATTATAGCATTAATTGTTGTACTGAGTTATAAATACTTTTGAATACCAATAAGGAGATTTTGAAATATTTATCCGAAGACAAGTTTATTTCTTTTTTTCCAATTACCTTTGTTTTACAAAATTTTTTTGCCACATTTGCTATATATTTAATAAATTAAAATAGGCGCTTGTAGTGGTTATGAAAAGTTATAAATTTTTTTTAAGTTAACTACTTTTGCTTTTACTTTTTTAACTATAACTTTTTTTAAATTTATCTTGATGTTATTTACATAAGTGTTTTTTTAAAGACTGTCTGGTCTGGTTTAATGTACTTGCTTTGAAAATGGCTCTACATTTTGGAATTTTGTTCTAAGCTTTGTATTTCGGCTTCTTTTATTTAGCGTGGTTGTCGTTAAAAACCAATCTAACCAAAACGAAAGTTATTTCTGGAAATGACTAACTAAAAAAAGTGTTAAATAATAGAATAATAAAGATATAATTGTTGTCTAGAATAGACTAATTGAAATTTGTTTATTCCAGACAACAGTTTTATGAGTACCTATTTAAAAATAAACAAAAAAATGAAATTTTATTTCTGTTACAATGGTTGTTACGACCAGGGCTGACCAAGACCAACCCGAGCAGGAGGTGAGGGGGTATGCCCCCTCCTCCTCTAGGCTGTTATACATGCATTTGAGTTAGCACATATGCACATTACGCATTTCATATGGAAGTTTTGAAGTATAGTTGGCAAATATCAAATATCAAGGAACTTGTTTTGTGTCTTTAGTAGGCAAAAAACACATACAAACCCCCTTCCCAATGAGAGACCTCATCGGGACGGCTTAGACAACAACCACGCAAAGAGAAGCAAAATGCAGCAGCATAGCTACCAATAATCCCGGCTCCATAAAGGTAAATTTTTATTGGGACAACTAACCATTTCCTCCCGTGAAAATAATATTTAAACAAATAAATCAAAAAAACTTTCTTTTCAAAGTTTTTTTGTAAAGAATCTTTCTTTCTAAAAAGCTACCCTAACTTTAAAGAAAAACAAAATGTTAGAGAAAAAAAAAGGATACAACCCGCCTTGCCCGGA